GAGTGATTAGCATGCCTGTATGCACAGCTGAGCAAGGATCTGCTCTAAAGTTTTAAGGTAATAAAGGAGACACATGAAATGAAGGCAGAGATGCTATAGGGGGCCGCTGTGAGATGTGTCACAGCCCAGGTGTCTGAGGGTGTCTGAGGGCAGCTGAGGACACAACCCCATCATTTAGAGCAGGCGCACGATGGGGCTTCCTTATATAATAATGAATCAGCATGGACAATCATGCATGCACCACAAGGCCTGCAAGGTTGCTCAGCATGTTTTGTCTTACTGTGTCTCAGTAAGCTGATATAAACTACTGTAAGTGCTTTGTTGGAAAATACAGCTGGGTTCCTGCTTTGTAATATCTGCTCCATGAGTGTTCTTTTTGAAAGGGGTCTCGAGCCTCCTTTGGGTGCCCCTTGCCCAATTATGCCACTCACGCACCGAGAGGTCCGGCAGGAGATCTTTATTGTAGGGAGGCGAGCGGGAGGCAGGAAGGCAGAGAGCGAGAGAGCGAGAGCGAAAAGAAGTACTGGGATACTTATAGGACGGGCAACGGAAGATCCTTCCTTGGGAGGAGAGGTCTTTGTTATCCTATCGCAAGCCAGGTTGTCTTTTGAATTTCGCGCCTTGGAGAGGCTCTAGTTTCGCGCTTTACAATTTTGGCGGGAGAAAGGACTCAGTCGGGGAAGAACCCGGAAGTAAGATATAAAATGGCTGGGGGGGATTATATTTTAACATGTGCGATCTCCTAACACTTTTCTTTGCGAAACTTGCTTGACAGGGTCTCCCTTCAGCACACCGGCCCTGACAGATGCCAAACTTTATCCTGCTTTTAATTGCTGTCTTAATCATTTTCTCATTGTTGGGACAAAATACCTTACACTCACAATTTAAAGGCGAGGTTGATTTTGGCTCACAGTTTGTATAGGATTCTGTCCATAGTTCAGTCCATAGCTCCAAGGCAGGAAGGGCATGGTGGAAGGAGCCGTTGAAGGAAAGACTCTCACATAATGGCATCCAGGAAGCAGAGAGAGAATGAGGAGCCCCAGGAGGGAAAATACCCTTACAGGTCAAGCCCCTAGTCACCTGCCACTTTCAATCAGGCCCCATCACCTAATAACACATTCAGCTAGGAAGTTATCAGTATCAGTAGATCCTCCCATGATATTACCACTCCTACCAAGGGCTGATCAGACCCTCAGCTACCTTCTGGGGGACATGCTGAGGAATAAAAAGAAAGAGACAGAGACAATATTCAAAATATAAGGGGGGAGTCTGGGAGGAAACCTATCTCTAGTGGACAGACTAGAATAAAACTCTGTAGTTGGCTTGCTTTTGTTAGCCAGTGACAAGTTCAGGAGGAGGGGTAGCATGTGTTTCATGGTACAGCAACTATAAAGAATGGGTGGATAAGGATTAAATGAATGAGGAATCATATTTTCTCTACACCCAAAGGCCAGTGTACATGGCATAACTTGCACAGTGTAGGGTTGAAAGCTGGGGAAAGTAGTGGGAGATGAAAAAAAAATGAAGAAACCAAGATTATTCTTAAAAGTTGGGACCACAGCTTGTTGGGAGCTAATGGCCCTCTGGAGTCCCATGCACTCTTTATTTATAGTGGAAGGCAAACAGGAGGAGAAGGTGGGGCAAATAGTGCTACATGACCCATTCGGCCTAGGTGAAATGGTAGCGTGATTGTTTCATGATCAGGGCATGTGTAGGAAGGGAACAGGGAAGGATACATAATGTAACTGTCTCCTGGGGCTGTGCCATCCAGGGTCTACAATATGGTCCAACAGACTGTGTCCATTTGATTATCTAATCTATGGAGGACAAAGGGAGTAGGGAGGAGGCAAAGGATCATCTTCAGTTTCAGCCCATGACATATATATATATAT